ATGAGTAAACAGGAACTCACTCTCTTCAGACTGAGGATTTCGTAGAGGTAAGAACTAGTGGCTAGCTGATCTTTCTGATCTTTCAGCTTTCACCCTGATATCTGGCTCTGGGCTTTTTATTAAGAGACCATCTAAGATTCAAACAAGTGACTCTTCATAGCTCTGCACCAGCCTCTGGTGAGTCCTGTTTCATCTTGGCCATTTGGTCAGTTGTATTTTCCTGGTGAGACATCGCTGTGGTTTTACCTTGCTGATGATGCTGAACTTCTTGCATGTGCCTACTTGCCATCTGTGTATTCTCTTGAGGAGAGCATGTCTCTGTGTCTTTTGTTCATTTTCTAAGTGTTGTACATTGAGAGTTTCTATGTGTGGCTTGTAAACATTCTTTGGCTTTTCTTTCTTCCTCTTCCTTCTCTGCTTTCTTTTCCCTCTCTCCAACAGGGTTTCACATATTCCAGGATGTCCCGAAACCCATTCTATTGCCAAAGATTGATGTTTTTGGTATTTTACTATTTGGGGGGGGGGCTGCCACCTACCTACCAAATAAATCATATACAGAGGCTTATTCTTACTTATGAATACCTGGGCTTAGCTTGGCTTCCTTTCTTGCCAGCTTTCCTTAACTTATCCATCTCCCTTTTGCCTCTGGGCTTTTCCTGTTCTCTTACTTTTGTGAATTTTACTGTTTCTCTGTGGCTTGCTGTGTAGCTGGGTGGCTGGCCCCTGGAGTCCTCCTCCTTCTCTGACTGTTAGATTTATCTGTCCTCCCAGATTTCTCCCTCTATATAGTCTTTCTGCCTGCTAGCCCTGCCTATCCTTTCTCCTGCCTTGCTATTGGCCATTTCTTTATTAGACCACCAAGTGTTTTAGACAGGCACAGTAACACAGCTTCACAGAGTTAAACAAATGCAATATAAACAAAAGTAGCATATCTTAAAATAATATTCTACTACAAAAGAAGATCGTAAACATCTAGTCCTCCCCCCAAGAGCTGGGATTGAAAACATGCCACCATGGTCAGACACCATAGACCAAACCCAGGGCATGCCAGGCGAGGACTGTTAGCAACTGAGTTACATGCCACAAACCCCGGCTTGCCCTTTCATTTTGTGAGGCCCAACCTACTCACTTTCCCTTTGATGGATCATGCTTTTGAGTCAAATCTGAACTCTGCCAACTAGAGATCCTAGATCTTAAAAATTGGCAGTTACATCTTTTTTCTAATAGTTTTACAGGTTTGGGATTCATTTGTTTGTTTGTTTATTTGTTTTCCTTAACAGGGTCTTGTAATATAACCCAGACTGGCCTCATACTTGTGGTCCTCCCCAAGTTCTGGGGTTATAGTCTGTGCCACCATGGCTGGCCAGTTCACAGCAGACATTTACTCTTCATCTCTGAAATCCTCCCTCTCCTTATAAGGTTTTCCAATCATGGATTCAGGATCATTTGCTATAAAGGTTCTCCCATTAAACTGCCTTGGCCAGAAGTCAGTTAGGTGTATTCTTTTGGGTCTTTCCCTGCGTTCTCTGTTCTGCTCCATTGTTCTATATATCTGTCCATTCACTAGCAATTATACCAAAGTCTCATTTTAGTCTCTCTCTTTTTAAATTGCTTTAACTACTCCACTTTGACAGTTTTAGAAAAATGAATCATGTTACAATTTTGACACAGGAGTTTTGTTAATTCTGTTCTGGGTTCGGGGAAAACCAACAATTTTACTATGGGTCTTTCCCAAGAATATTTCCTTTGGGTCTTCCGACACACGACTATTCTCATTGGTCTTCCATTCACTTACGTCCACGTTGGTTTCTGCTCCTAGTTTTCTAACATTTACACTTAAGCATTTTTATGGTTTTAGTTTCTTTTTTGCTATTATTTTGAGACAGAATTTCACCATGTGATCCATGCAGGCCTTGAACTCACAACCTTGCCTCCTCAGACTCCCAAGTGCAGTGAGTATAAGCAAAGCTAGTATTTTCATTTTTTTTTTTTAAAAAGAAATTGTATACATGACTGGTCAGAATTACAATGTTTCAGCCCAAGTGGGAAATTGTGGTGGTTACTTAAAAAGTTAAATATATATATATTTATACTTACCATATGATCCATCGTTTTGCTCCTATCCAAAATAATTGAAAAGTAGTACTCAGAATATATACATAAATGTTCTTGGAAGAAACACTCATAATAGTTGGAAATGAAAACAGTCCAAGTGCCCATGATGGGATGAAACAAAGTGTGATGTAGGTATACAACTTTCGGGATTCATTCATAAAAAGGGAGGAGATTCAGATGCCAGCTACAGTGAGGGGGAGCTTGAATGATTCCATTCATATGAAATAGACATAATAACTAAATCCACACACAGAGAGAGTAGACTGGAGTTGACAGGGTGGAGAAGAGCAGGCACCAACCTTTTGTACCTGGTTCCACTTGGGGGTGACATAAATGTTTCAGAACTGGAGATAGTTATAACGCTGAATGTATAAAATGCCAACTGTCCACTTAAAATGGCTACTTTATAAAAATATAGCTAAAAATCTGTAAGTGGTGTTCTTTTTAAAATTTTTTTTAATGTGTATGAGTGTTTTGCCTGCATGTATGTATGCATATTGCACGCATACCTGGTACCTGTTGAGGTCAATAGAGGACATCACATCCTGAGCCACCATGTGGGTAAAAGAACCCAAGTTCTTTGGAAGGGCAGCCAGTGCTCTTAACCACGTGAACTCTCTCTGCCCGGTGTTTTTTACATTTGCTATACTGGGGATCAAATGCAGGGCACACCCCGTAGGTAAGCTGTCTCCTCCTGAGGTACAGCCCCAGGCAGTGCTGCATTTCTACTTCCAGTGCCTGTGTGTTCATCTCTGGTGTAGAGGAATACTATGGACTTTTTGTACATCATTTTGTGTTCATTGACCCAGCTGGACTTACTTCATTGATTGTGGAGATTAAAAAAAAAAAAGATCTCCCGTGGTATTTTCTGTATGGACAATTGTGTCAACCATGTATAAACAGGGATGGTTCAACTTTTTTTTTCCAAATTATTAGATCTAATGTGTGTGTGTGTGTGTGTGTGTGTGTGTGTGTGTGTGTGTGTGTGTGTGTTTGCAGAAGTCAGAGAAA